ACAAAAGGTTCAGTGCATGAGTAAAAAGAAAAAAATCTTTGCTGAATCTCAAGGACCAAAAAAAAAAAAAAAAGAGGATACTTTGTAAAACTGAGCCTTCAGAGGAACTTTTCAGATCCTAAAAGCTCTGTGGACATACAAAATTAATACTTTGTAAACCAATGATAATTTTGCAGTTAGTCATAATGCAATGATGGGTTATTTACAATGAAATTCAATCAGATTTCAGTAATCTACATTTCACTCTCCAGACATATAGCTCAAAGGTTACCTACAAAGTAGAAAAGATGAAAACACTGATTGATGTGCAGTACAGTTCTGTAATCCATCTATTTAATAATTTCACATTCCCAAACTTCTCTGCATATGTTCTTTACTTACCATCATCCTGGTCACCATCTTCTCTTCTGCAGGAAATTTCAGCTGCCCACGGGGACAATGGAGGAACTAAGTAACAGCAAAGCAAAGCGACTCTCTAAAGAGTCTCTCTGTCAGCTGCACAGAATGAGCAAATACCAGATTTTAAAGGAGTTGTTTTCTGAAGTGCATTTCTCTTATTTGATTCAGTTTCATCCCCCTGGAAGTTTGAACTTCATCTTCAAGTTCATATTAATCTTAGTAATTAATCTCAATAATAAAACAATTTGATTGATAGGTTTTAAAATATAAAATTAGTAGCAGCTGTGTTCTCAGCATTGCACTTAATGTAATGCATCTGTTGCAAAATCTATGGAAATAACCTGTTTTCTCATTATCATATTGTATTCTATATTGAAGGAATAGGATTAATATACCATGTAAAGTATATCATATGAACAGCGTGTAGTACAGAAGAACAGTAGTACAGAAAAAATTGCAACCTTATATTTGGAGCTTGCAACCTTTTTGGTCCGCATTGATGTACAGATAAAGCATTTACAGTCAAAACTGTTTTAAAGCAACCAACAAAAATTGGCTCATTATTAGAGGTTTTCCTTTTTATTAAAGGTGGAGCAGAATTGTACTACAAACAGTTGGCAGTATTTTAGGGTAATTTATTGAGGCATGAAGTTGCCTGTTTGAGGTAGTCTCTTGTAGTGGTATCATTGTACTATACCGTGCTACCTCAAGGACATTGAATATGTATCCTTAGCATTTCTTCATCATCTTCTGCTTCTTACCGAATACATGACAATATAGCACTTACATCTTATGCTATAGTACAAAGAAAGCAATGTAATACAGAGTGAACCTGCTGTAGACTTTTATAAATGGAGTATTTTCCTCCCACACTATTTCCACTACCACTTCTCTCCATCAAGACTGATACCACCACTAGCCTCCCTATCACTCAGTTGAAACCTCCTTCTCCTTCACTCCCCATATCCAGCGTCTCTGATCAACTACTGTTGCTTCTTTCTGGATATTGAAAAAAAAACATTTTTTGCTTTCTTTCATGATGCTGTAACCACTCTCCCACACCCTTATCAACTCTCACCTGTTGACTACTGCAATCGCCTCCTCCTAACCTCGTCCCTTACAGATCCCCATTGTGCTGCTGACCATCAAGCTCAAACTTTTTGTCCTTACTTGCAAGATCGTACATCATATAGCCCCTTGTGACACCCCCAGGGTACAATCTGGACTGTTGAACCGCTGTGTCCCTTTAACCCTCCAGCCCAGGGTGCCTTTCACAAGCAGCCTCTCCAAGCTCTGCTCACACACAGCCATTAGCATTTAAAGTCATTCCTAGCAAAGTTACATGAATGCTCTCCCAGCCATTCATGAACTACATACAAGGCAACACCTGCAAATTCCCCAACCCCAGCTTTGCATCCCAGGAATGTGTGACTTATACTGCTCAGTAGACCCCTGTACAGCATAAGTTCATATTGGTCCGACATTCCAACAAAGGGTAATGTTTATATGCTCAAGCCTTGCTGGCTGACGTGGAGTCCCAAAGCACTTCAATCCAAATATATACTGGATTAGGTAAAAGAATAAAAAGTTTATGAACTAGAGAAAAATGTATTTGAAATGATAAGTGATAAAGGCATAAAAGTCAGAACTGGTTACACACGGGATAAAACTGCAAACTAATTCCTAAACTTTACCAAGCTAAATAAGATTTGACATCAAAAAGGTTTCTCTCCCCCCAAAACTTTCAGCAGTCCATACTAACTGGAAAGATTACCAATTAGAACCACTCCCCCCAATCCAATGATGCTCCTATTGTCTTTCAAGTGATCTCGCTGCCGTGAGTAGAGATGGGGGAGGAGAGGTAATGAGGTGGTCACTGTCTCTTTTTTTTAATACTCTGACCCTTTGTACTGGAAAAGTCTTTGCTGGGTCATGGGGTCAGCAGTTCCATTGCGTATGTCCTTCAGATGAATTGTAAATACTTGTTTACAACGTCGCTGCTGGGGAATCTCCAATTAAACAGGTAGTGACTAAGGCCCTACTTAATTTCCAATATTGCGGAAATTGCAGATCCTGCAATATTACGCTTCCACCGCAATTTTGATTTTAATTAGCTTACTTTTCACAGTCCACAATTTTGCATACATTTTGGCATTTGTAACACACACTTTTCCCCCCATTAGTGCAGAAGAACCTAATTTATCTGAGCTGCCAGCAGCTGGGGCTCAGGCTGCCAGCCCTGTGCATGCGGTGCTCAGGCTGTCAACCCTGCACATTAATAACTACAATATAGTTGCAGCAAAATGTCTGGTTATCAAAAAAATTTGCAGGCATAACTTGAGTGTTTATATTGTTCCACAAAACTTTTCTTAAACAAGTAAGTCTTCTCTGGCTTTTCCAAATTATCGCAATTAATAAAGGTCCTTTATTACTTTTCTGCAATTTTCCATATCTTGTCCGCAACTCAGCTGCAATTATTTGACAATCATCCTGTGATTCAAGTAGGACCTTAGTAATGACTCTTTAGCATTCTGCTGACCTGCAAGTGTGTCTTTGTCTCTGAAAAACTAGTTTGAGCCTGCTTTTCTAACTTTGTAACATGTTACCGTAAAATCATTGCAATACAGTAGTCTCATAACTTTACATGCAAAGTTGCCACACACATTTTACCAAGATAATAATGGTCAGCAGATTATGAGTTTTCACATGATACCACACAAGGCATACTTTGTACAGGATATATCAAAACCATATAAAAGTGGTGAACATGGAGCACAGAGTGTTACATGGGGCACAGTGTCTCACAAACCTGCCTAAATATCTCACCTGATCTTCCTCTGCATTCTTGCCATAGCCTCCGCTTTGCCAATCTGATACCCCTTTTGTCTCTTTTTTTCACAAGTGCTTCCACCCCTTCCTCCATCCTGCCCCATAGCTTGGCATACCTTTTTGAAATCCATTTGTCAAACCTCCATCCTTGATCCATTCAAATCACTACTTAGGACCCTACGATCTCCCAAAATCCCACCCACCCACTCCACCATTTTTGGACCAGTACATATTTGTGTGCCTAACTGGAGTAACAATATCCTCATCTATTGGTAACATGAGTCTTTTCTGACCACCTCTTTTCCTGGTGTATGTTATAGTCTCATTTGTGTAACAGATCCACCACTTACACAGGAAGGACTTCGGAGTAAAGACCTGTCATTTACACCTTTTCTGTGAAGTACTCAGCTCGCTGTGGATGCTTTGAAATAATAACTAATAATAATTATAATATGTTCTTTTAAATACTTAGTTGGATTGTTACTAGAAACCTCAGCAGTAACTGAAAACCATAAATATATTTTTAAAGGTAATAGGGGAAAAATGCCAACCAGAAAAATGAACCAAGTTAATATGTAGAAAGAAAACCTTAGTCTGAGAAATAAGTGTGTTCCAGGGAGTTAGTAGCTTTGAAATACTGCAAGACCCTACTGCTTCTGCTTATATTTTGTTGCTGTTTAGGGTGACCGGATGTCCCAATTTTATAGGGACAATCCCGATTTTTGTTTCTTTTTCTTATATAGGCTCCTATTACCCCCCATCCCCTGTCCCGATTTTTCACACTTGCTGTCTGGTCACCCTGTTGCTGTTACAAATTTGGGGAGACGTTTAAAAGGAGTTTGACACCTTTGGGCTGGTTGCATTCATTATTTCCAGGAGCAAGCCAGAAAATGAGTGTGTAGATCTGAGGCAATGGCATGGCTTGACGCTCCAGAGTGAGGGATGATCTCAGCTACAGGAAGATAAATCCAGAGTCACTCCATCAAACACTTTATAGTCACTTAGATTTACAGCCTGGGGTGTTTGTTACTCAAACATCTGAGCAATGTGCTGAGAGAGACATAATATCTTGTCTCATTGTTTCCTTTTCCTCTCCCATTTGTTGTATTCATTGATTGTCTCTTGTCTTAGACTTAGATTGTACACTCCTTGGGGCAGGGACTGTCTATTTTTATGTTTTTGCATAGTGTGTAGCACAATGGGGTCCTGTTTCATGATTAGGGTCCCTGGGTACTACCACAATACAAACAACAAACAATAATAATAATAATAATAATAATGGGCCTCATTCAGCAGTGTATAATTTCTGTTTTAAACTGGTGTAACTCCATTGATTTCAGTCTAACATGTGACACTCCATTGATAACAATGAATATAAACCAAAAGTAACACAGTGGTGAATCAAGTCTAATAGCCATAGTGGCATATTATAACTCTCCTTGTTCCAGACAATAGACAGATTACATGGGGGTATTTGTACAGTGCGCAATGCAACAGGGCCTATAACAGTTGAGGCTTCTACAATAAAAACATTAAATACCACTACTACTATTAATACTAGTATCTCCTTAAAATGGTTTCTTTCTTCTTGCCAGAACCTCACACCTTCCCCTGGGTGTGACCTTACTTATTGTAGTATTCCAGGATAAACACAAAAATAAAATGATTGCCATTGATAAAGAAACAAGTATTTAATCCAGCTGAGCCTGGCTCTGGCTTCCTTTATAATTGTGATCTCCATTGAGTAAGAAATGCCTGTGTTTTCACTGCAGAATGAAGATGTGGAAGTCCTGAATTCCGAGTATGGAAAGAACGTGATTAAACTCCTTCGCATTAGAAGAGATGACAAGAAACACTTCATTAAAGAAGTGGAAGCTTGTGTACATATTAGACTGGATTCTGTCAATGAGTACTTGCGTGGAGAAAATTCTGCTGTTATCCCTACTGACACCATGAAGAACATCGTCTTAGCTTTGGCAAAATGCAAAGGGGTATTTTTAAACTATTCTATTTAGTATTGTGCTGACTGTTATTTATGATGCTGCCCCAGATTTGTTTGGAAGTGATCATTGTACTTAGTTTTCTATTGTCAACATATTTCAAAAGATCCTCTCTCCTCTTTCATTGCCCTGTTCTATCCCCTTCCAAAGCTCACCCAGGTCGAGAAGCTCTTCTCCAGGCAAAAGTTGAAAAGAGTTTGGCTAATGCAAAATTCCTACTCTCTTTCATATGATTTTCTGGCTTCCTGCTTTTCAGTTTGGCACTGAAGCTCCCTTCAAGATTTTGAACTGGATCTTTCCTTTTTCCAGTACTAATTCTTCATACACAACATTGACTTTCTCATCTGGTATTTGGTGCACAAGTGTGGATAATCTTTATTTTATATGTGGAAGACATTTTTAGGTTTGGTTGACAACCCCGCCCCCCATCATGAATCTTTTTTTGCATTTGGACCCCTTGGATCTGATACCCCTGAACTTTGAAAAAGTATGAATCCAATTCTGAATCTTAAACTTGGAATTTGGGCCTCCCTTCAGTTTTCTGGTGTAGTCTTTTGTCTGACAAAGCCAGCACTGTTCTCACACCTGTCTTCAGGTACCTTTTGTAGTAGGACAGCTGTGCACTCTTTTGTAATAAATAATAATAATAATACCTAGCTCTTATATAGTGCTTTCCATCAGCAGATCTCAAAAAGCTTTTCAAAGAAAATAAGTATCATTACCCCCAGTTCAGTGGCTTCAGCTGTTCTTTTAATCTGCTAATTCCATATAGCTTAATTATACCACACTATGGACCAAATTCTCAGTCTCATTATGAAATCCCATCTTTACCCTTTAGCGTTCTGCAGTTTTTATTGTTCAATGAGACCACCTACCAGGAATGTTCTGATATTACATTTTCTAAGGATCAGGTACCAGTGGTGGCTTCTCTCAATCCAGTTATTCTACCTGCCCTCTCCCTTTCCTTTGTGTGGATAATACTATACCTAAGGAAAAAGGGATCGCTGATGAATGTGAATCTTTAGCTCCTATTGTAGTTTACAGTGCATGCTGACTAGGTGGGTAGAAAGACAGTCTTTATAAACCCAGAATTGAATGGCATCCATATCATCCACAAAATCCATTTAAATCAAAATATTTACAGTGATCCAGACAAACTGTGCATGTTGTATTCTGTATGCCAATATACATTAGATCATTGGTGCTCTCTAATGTGTTATTTGTTTTCTTAGATCCAAACTATAGAACAATTTGCCCTGGATATCTGCAATCACTTCATTTCCTCATATTGTCATGTGGTGTACGTCAAGGCCTATGTTCAAGAGGTACCATGGCGGCGTCTAGAAAAGGTATATAAAAATACTAGGGCTGTCAAGCAATTAAAAAAATTAATTGCGATTAATGGAGCAACTAAAAAAATTAATCATGATTAATTGCACTGTTAAACAATAATAGAATACCATTTATTTAAATATTTTTGGATGTTTTCTAAATTTTCAAATATATTAACTTCAATCACAACACAGAATACAGAGTATACAGTGCTCACTTTATATTTATTTTGATTACAAGTATTTGCACTGTAAAAAACCAAAATAGTATTTTTCAATTCACCTAATACAAGTACTGAAGTGCAATCTCTTTATAAAGAAAGTTGAACTTACAAACATAGAATTATGTACAAAAAACAGCATTAAAAA